TTGATATATGTGTAAGGATGATTATTATATTTTATGTTTGATTCAAGATAGTGTATGTATTTTTCTGCTATATAAATCACTCGATGTGCAGACCACTAATATAATTGTATCAAAACCTTCGTTGATAACATACAAACAATTACAAAAATCGTATTCCGATTCACTTGAATGTTCTTGTTCAAATATTGCAATACCATTTCAAAAATTTGTCACATGGTCACCAAGACTTCATCAATTGTGTACAAGTGATTTTATCACCGAGAACTGGATCTCTTTAGTATCGCTTACTCAGCTAGGGTGGTTGGGATGGGATGAAACAAATTGGTTTGGTTTCAGTGGTACACATTTTCGTTTTTTATCCACTCTATGTCAATTAGCTAACAAAACTGTAACTGATGCTATTGATCGATTTGATATACAATCGTTCATTACACTCAATGTTACTACTGAAACTAGTTTTAATATTCAGTTAGATATAATTGTCAATGAATTCGCTCAATCGTTCATCACAAATTTTGATCTTCTTATTCAGACAGTACAACTACTCACTCAAACAGACCAACCTTATACAATAGATCGCAATGCAGTTTTATTTTATTTAACAACACAAGATGAAATCAATGGTGCACAATATGCTCGGGTATAGTAATACGCTTTAATCGATCTGTTTTTTTTTGCTTTTATTTATGACGAAGTAACACAAGTGGAAAAATTTTTATACAATCAATTTCTTTTTTTTATTTAGGTTGGATTTCAATTCACTGGTCCGGTAAACCCCGAGACCAAGAGTGTATCATGTATCTGTGCTACAGATCCTCATTGTCAAACACCAGTTTTTGATCCTGTGAATACGACGATACTATCTACTGCTCATCAATTTTCTGAAGTAATAGGAACAATGCAAAGCTGTTATGTTGTTGATTCTGTGCTGCTGTCAACACTTGAATGTTATTACTTACATTCGTGTGTATCCATCCTCTATAAATTCATAAACAGCATATTCAACGACTTTGATTCAGGTATCTCATATTTCGATGTTAATATTCTTGTTAATAATTCAGCATCGAGTCGTTTTCCTCCAAACACATCACTTTCAACAATAGTCAAAGCATTACTGGTTGAAGAATGGAATCCAGTATTTTCATTTGATCAATATTATGAACAATGTACCCCTAGCAAGTGTACTTATTCACAGGAAGTACGTACTACTGATTTTCTTGGAGTAATAATATTTGTGATATCGATAATCGGTGGTCTCATTGCTGGTGTACGATTAATTGCATCTTTACTGATTAAAATGATTGCCGTTTTATGGAAGATCAAACGGCGACCAAAGGTACCACAACAACCAGCATCGTCACTATCATTCAGTCGAATAAAGCAAAATAT